TGTCAAAAAAAATTTCAAATTTATCTACTATTTTTAGCTATCAAAGTGCTCTAACTCCTTAAGTAGATTTATTTTCATCAATCCAAATTCATAATATAAATATTGTAATTATTTAAATCGGTTGCTTTTGAATTTTCCAGAAAATTAACACTTCATGTAAGTATCAGTCGGTATCAGATTGTCACAACAATCACATTATATAAATTATACATCTTAATTTTTAATTTTTTGACTAATAATTTTATATATTTATACAATTTTAATTTTGAACTTGGTAACTAATAGTTTTAATAATTTTACATATATTTATTGACCTCATAATCATATACAAACAACTTTACACGTCTTATCTACATCATAGTTGGAAGAATGTAACTATAACGGTGAGTACTTTAATATAGTAATTGCTTTTGAAAGCAATATGAAGCAATGAATGTGAAATTGTTTATAGATCTGTACCCGTAAAAGATAACTTATAGATAATCGTGAAAATTTTCTACCAACTAGTCGTTCAACCGAGCAACCGAGTTGTTCATTACGAGCAATTTCGTTTTCATCCTACATCTATAGTGTTACATCGGATTCCCATAAGATATGGATTACATATATTTGTAAGAATATTTCAATGCGTCTTTTATACTGTTTAATGGCTTAATATAAAGTGACTATTCAAGATACACCTGACTTTTTCACTGCGTTTTTATTCTGCGAATTTATAACATCTGATGTCATATAATACAATGTAACGTTAAGTTTTTTAATTAAATTTATATTTCATATCAATTTATTAGAACGTTAAAGCTTTAACGTTTATTACACATATTTATATTCGAATTTGACTCTAATTTGCCTTTCTATATTCTTGATATTTTTGATAATTATTGTATTATTTAAAAAAAAAGAATATTTAACCTAGATATTTTGATATAGAATTTTTGTCTTAAAATGATTTCAAGAATTTGGCATTAGCAGGTGGTACGTCGAATCTGAAACACCCTGTATATATAGAATCACTTATTTTAACTTAGTCATCTGTGTTGTAAATATGTACATAGTACGAATTGTAAATTATACCAAAGATTGCATCATTGCATCGATACAAACACATAAAAAACTGATTGCATGTCGGATAAGATGCGACTACATCATAAAATTTATTAATATCGCGACAATCTCGTAAAATGCACCAGAAAAAGAATTAAAATTAACATTCATCAAGTTCGCATTAGATCTTCCGTTAGTACATTAGTGCAATTTTTAATGTATGATATTTAATTGTTAAATGTCGGGTGATAATAGTGTGTTTTTATAATGTTTTTTTCTATCCTTTTTCTCGTAAACGTAAATCTCTTAATAAATGTGAAAAGTCTATTTTTATGAAATAGCATAAAACTGTTTTTTATAAAATAAATGAAGTGTACATATGATTGTATAAAAAAACAACTTAACATATGAAACAAGTTTATACCTGTTCCATTTTGAGATATGAGAGATGTTGTAGTTTTTATGATTCTGAACAATGTCTTCTGTCATATCCACAGAAAATTAACAAGTCAAAAGATATGGAGCTCTGAAGTCACAGAATCTGAATGTTTGCTATATCTCTAACCCAGATAGCCAAGCGAGATTAGCGTATGGAACAAATTGATGTACTGCATGTTTTCAACTTGTCGACAATTTGCTGTCATTGGAATCTAATGTGAATTGCGTTAGCATCAGGAGGGCAAATAGATTTCATGAGTTTACGAAATTGTAAGAATATACATCGAGAAATAATAAACTCGTCACGTTGACAGCAAACTAATGCACGCATGATGACAACTTACCAGCAATTTGCTGAATTCTAAAGAAGACTTTACGTGACATCAGAACAACAGACAGTTTATGAAAACTTGGCTTTAGTTTGCTGAAATGGAATAAGTGACAGCAAAATGGCAACCTTATTTGGCTATCTGGGAAGATAACTAACAATGCTCTCTTTTATATGTAATAGGTCAGCGTACATATATATTCTTGAATAAAGCATTCATATATACAAGGTGTCTCACAACTACTGAATTATATTTTAAGGACGTATTTTTGAAATAATTTTATAAAGTTAATGGTCAATAAGAATCTGATAGTTAAAAATCTTGAGATATATTTATGTATAAATATAAATAAATTAAAAGTATTACACTAAAAAAGAAATCAAAAAAATGTCTAAATCTTATTTAATTTTTTGAGAAATAAATTCTGTGTAAATAGATTCTGAAAGATTTTGTCTTACCTTTAAATAAAGAAAGCTTTGACACATTTTGCAAGAAGATTTAATTTTTAATTTTTAATATTTTTTATCTATTATGGTATATTGTTCAACCTTTGATATGATTTTGTTGACTATTTTTCTATATTCTTTCCAATATTTAATTTTATTTTTTAGTAATTTGTTAATAACTTTTTAATCTTATATAACTACTCTTATTATTTTAATGGCTGAAGATGACTAACATAAGTAAAGTCAAAACGTTCCATTTATTATAAAAAAATTCTTAAATCTTTTATAATATAGATTAAATGTCTTAATAAATATTTATATTATCTTATTTTTTAAGTTTATGTTTGACCTATCTTCCTATTCATATTTACATATTCAAGCAAGAAAATAATATTATAATATTTTTAGGAGTTTAAGTATTTTTGTAGTCTATGCTCCAGTCTTCCATGAAGCATAACAACTGATAATGTATTACGAACACAAATTATCATTCTTTCGTTAAAAAAAAGCACACTGGCAAGATTTACCCGGATTCTTATCGTCGAATGTCAATCGTGTCGTACATGCAACTGTGTCGTTTCCTGGTGGAGGCTGTGGACCACACTTTTCAATTCGGCGACGAGTTTGTCGGCAGGATCTGACTGTGGTGCGAATATATTCATGATTTCTCGTACTTTGTTGTATGACCCATCATAACAATCTTGCTCTGCTTTCCACATGTTATATGCCATCATAGCCGGGATGGAGCGTTCTATCGTAATGACTTTGTTCTTCAGCTGCAGCTGACGGTTAATCAGATCGCATTGACGTTCCTCGATCTCGGATGTTATGTTCGCCAACGGCGACTCAACAGCTTTCATAAAAAAAATTTATTTATATCTCTTTTATTAAAAAAAAAGTTTATTAATTATGCAGTATAGGGGTCTACCTGTAATAATCTTGACCTTGACGTGTGTTGTCAAGGTTGTGACCTTCGACAAATTTTAGCCGTTCATTGTTTCTTAAAAAGTTATTAACAAAAAAATTCATCAATAAATCTAATTTTTGGACACAACTGCGCTTCAATGAAACAAATTCCCTGCTTTAAAAGAGCAAAATATTTTCTTATACTTATATAATTTTTTTTTATATAATTTTGCCTAGATTTCGACAATAATTCCTTCTCCATCAATTTGATTTTGGTTGTTTGTTAACCATTGATTCATGAGCTGAGAAGGCAGATTGATGTAATTGAATATTTATTATAAAATTTTCTGTTTCAAAAATATAAATATTTTATTTCAAAAACACAAATTTTCTGCTTTATAAACAATTCAGATTGTTTCCCATTTATGTAGTTTTACCAAATTATTAAATTACATGAATTATTCTCTCTGCAAAAGTTAGTCCAATCAACTGCTGTGTGATAATATATTCAGTTCTTTTTCTAGGAATGTCTGCTTTACAAAAATTCTTTGCTTTAAAACTAAATTTTTTTAATGAACTTTTTTTTGTTAATAACCTTAACGAGTAATGGCTAAAATTTGTTCAAAATCATTCGAAGTCATGGCCTTAACAACATATGTCAAAGTCAAGATTATTAGAGGGTAGTCCTTTATATTACATAATTACTAAAATTTTACTGGAATATTTTTAATTAAATTGAAATCAAACTAAAGTATATTTTTAATTTTGAATGGGACTATTTATTTATGTTTGGCAATAAAGTAGACAATAAATTAATGTTAATTGAAGGTTACTTACTGGTTTTGGTCGACATTCTGATGATTCTATGATTACAGTTGAAATATATGAAGATGAAATTAGTCGCACGGACGTCGACGATCCGAGGACTGTATTTTTTACTTGAGACTTTTGAATTAGATTGCAAAAGAATGGAAATAGTTAGTTGCTTTTGCCGGAGAACGGCATTGATAAGAGTTTTGGAGGTAGGTAGATGAAATTTGTATGCATAGCTTTTGCCGACAATATCAGTATGGTACTGGTAATCGAAAGTAAATATTTTATTATCTAATAAGTGATATTTCATTTGTGCATTTTTGTCGTACGACAAATTTTTCGAGCTTGTTTATTGGCTATGAGATAGAGAGAACCGAGAACCTCTCTATTCTAATATTATATTTGTCAACAACACATTTCAAGCCTATTATATTAATTGACTATAAGAAAGAGAAATTATCGGATCTCTGTTCTATAATCAATTAATGAACTTAAAATCTTTGTCATATGTAAAGCCCATTTACTATAGTCGTAAGCCCATTCTACAATAATCATAAGCGTAATTATAAGTGGTTGTAGTTGTAAGAATTAACCAATCAAGTCAAATGTAAGGAGAATATTTGACAGTGATTGGTCAATTCTTACAACTACAATCACTTATAGCTTTATGTGCTTTATGCCTATTGTAGAACAGGCATTATACGGTCTTAAGGCTATTCTACATTGATAGATCGTATCATAGACATCGCAAGTCACAAGCTTGTTGCTTCAGCCAATCCGATGCTTCAATTTTAAAGTCGCATGATGCTTATGACGCTACGATTCGACCAATGTAGAATGGTCTTTATGCTTTTATTGGAAAAGCAATAAATTGGCTCTCGCGATAATTTCCATCGCGCGGCAAATGTTGACGCGTTTTATGTCTGCAGAATATAACGTCTGCAGAATAAATATATAAATAATATAAATATCATGATATAATAGGTATTTTCTGTCACGAATTAAATATTGATCGACCTTTGTATATATACATTGAAATGAATATACAAAACAAAACACAATTCTGACATTCGTACTCTCAGTCTCTCAACAAATTTCCCGGTATTTTCATTAACTAACTTCACTTCTCTCAGTTAATAAATATTATGGCAATTTTTATTAACGATGTGCAGAATGATATAAATGTTTACTGATTATTTAGTAATTGTGAAAGCCGAGGACAAAGATTATCGAGATATCTGAAATCTGGAGCAGGCCACGTACGGCCAAACGAGCCACAATGTTATCACTCGGCTCATTCAGAAGTATAAATTTATTGGATTATTTCTAAATAAAATCGTAATGTTTAGAGCTGTATAATTCTATATAAACATATAGTTATTATTTATATGAAATAGTAGATATAAATATATCTACGATTTTTTATAAATCTTATTACTAGCAAGAAGTTATCTGTGCAGTAAAGACAAGCACAAAGTTAAGTACTCTATTCATTCTCAAAAGTTTTATGAGAATAAGTTACGATTCTTCTTATTGAGCTACATATCAAATGATTTAGGAATTTTCATTGTAACTAATTTCTTGTAACAAGCAGATGCGCAACTGACTCATGTTTTGTATAATTGTATCATTGCAAGTGATATTGCAAATGAAACATTAAAAAAAAATGTCTGTTATTCTTGAATAATTACATGGGACATTTTATATTATTCCTAAAACATTAAAAGATAGAAAGATTTGTCTTTAAAGAATTAACATTCTCACAGTAAACTGGAGGAGCCGACAACGCGGCGAGATGACGACGACTTCTCTCTGGTAACTGTAACAAGCGTTTCCCTCCAGAGCACAGGCAGCACTTTCACTGGATCAGTCTACACAAATTGGGAAGAGAAATTCGCCTGTCATTCATTACAGGGCCGAGGTTGCGTTTTCAGCTATCGAAAGAGAAGGACTCACTTTGGCGATGGAGTCTTCAGCGCACCAGCTGGCGTCTGTCCGCGTCATGTTACTTCGTCAGTCATTCGTCGTAATACAGGTTGAATGTTAAACGCAATTGTTACGACTTTTATTTTGAATAAATAGAGATTTCCATAATTCAATCTGCAAATAGCATGTTTGAAATGGGAATATACATGTTACTTGTACAGTATCTATGTTTTGTCTCTTCTTACTTTCGACGAGATAAAATATGTGAATACGTAGTGAATATGTAAATTGATGTTTTTCTCGAAATGAATAAATAAAAAATAGAAACTTTCTATTATAGGTGATTCTCGGCTTGTGTTTGTTTGGCCGCAAAAAACTAGCCGGAGTCGACTCTCGAATGTCCTTGTGCCCCTTCTACGTGGTATCCTAGTTGGACTATTATTCATAGACACTCTTCATCTATGGCCTGGAGAATTCTTACCTACATGTCTACCGCCAACCATGCCAATTACTTTACCGCCGGTTAAATGTAACGTCATTGAGCCGCGTTGGTATGATAATAACTGAATTTTTGCATCACCTAATGTTCACATCATATTTGCATAAATATATATTTGCGATACCGCGAATATGATTTTATTAAAACACTATACAATTTTCGATAAAAAAAAATTATTTTGTTTGAAGGCTTTTTGATCTTTTTAATTACATTTGGAATTCGTTTTAATTACAAGAAAAGATTTGCATTTGGGAAAACAGTTTCGCACAGTTTCAAGTTGAATGAAGACAATAGTTTCTATGATCTAAATTTAAAAAGTTGTATATACATACTTGGACCTCATAATTAAAGTTTATTTATACTATAAAAGGTAATAATTCAGTAACGTTTGTTTTTTAGTAATGCTGACGGTACCATATAGAATTGTAATTATGATTGAATATGTGAGTTAAACGATAAAAAATTCAACTTCAAATAAAATATTATTGACAACGAGAGTTTTAATTTTTGAACAAATTGTAAAATTTATTCGTATCTGCTTTTTCACATTTCTGTATCACTTGCGATGATTTGCATTTTTTATTATAGCAAAAGAAATATTTTTCATATTTGTCGTGTCATAATAAAGTTGCAATTTATAAAATAAACTACATACACATATATGTGCGATTGTAATATTGAAACATGTGATTTTAACACTTATTTCTACACTTATTTTAATAAAATGGCGAATTTGTCAAGAGAGACACTAAAATTAATTTACTTTCGAATAAAAAGTACGCAAAAATAGTTGCACGATGGCAGAATAACTTCTCTTAAAATAGGCACGAACGTTTGTCTATAAAGTCTGACCCAGGTCTTATATCTCGGAAACAGTTAGATTACGGTTATTATAGATATGGAAAAATGTTTCATATGAAAACATGAATTTTATAGGATATTAAGGGAAATGATAAAAATATGAACTTGACCTCTTCAAGATCAACATGACTGATGTTTTCATACATGGAAAAATCCCCTATTTTTTATTGCATATTCTTGTAGTTCACTCAAAAAACTTTTCAAAATATTATAAAAAAAAAGTTAATTTTCACTAAGAACTTTTCAAATTGTGAGGATTGAGAGTATAGTACCACCATTAGTATTACCTAGAGACTCTCTAATCAGAATTGCGACATGAGACGATTTGAGCCAATTTTTGTATGCAGGGTAGCAGTTTTAACAAAATTGATAATCCTGATCCTGATGAACATTTTTTTCAGAATTTTTCATATACTTTTTCAGGATTTCTATATAATTTTTCAGAATTTCTACATATTTTATAACTTTCTCACATTTTTTATACAAATTGGAACATTTCTCAGAAAATCAACATCTTTTTTCTCAGAATTTTTTATATTACATAATATTTTATATATTAATTATGAAATATCGAAGATTTCTAAGCTTTTTAAATATAATCTCTGATGAAATGTTATTTAAATCTAAAAATCTAAAATCTTAAAATTATTTTTTAAAAATTATAGGATGAGAAATTCCAGAATATTTCAGAATTCACTCTTATATGAAAAATTTTAAGAGAAGATGTAAACTTTTCGAATCATCATCATTCTTTTGTTTCGTCCACTGCTGATAGGCAGTCCTATGGACTGCCTCCTCTAATGTTTGTTCATCTTTTTCTATCCTGCCAATCCAATTTGTTGCTATTTTTTTCAGATCGTCGGTCGATCGAGTTAGTTGTCTTTCTACACTTCACTTGTCCATTCTCGGCCTCTATTCCAAGAGCCTTTTCGTCCATTTTTCATTCTGGCTGTGCCCATTTTTGTTTTGTTACATGCTCTATAATATCTCTAATCATAGTTCTTTGTCTCAAATCTTCATTTCTCACTCTCCCTCATAGTTACCCCTAACATTGAGCGTTCCATTCTACGTTGTGTGTTTTTAATTTAGTTGCCAATGACTTAATTAATGTCAGAGTTTCTGCTCCGTATGTTAGCACTGGCAGGATGCACCAATCAAATATTTTTCTTTTCAAACATACCGGTAGTTTGCTTTTAAACGTTTTTCTAAGCTTTTCATATGCTCCAGCTCAAAGATATTCTTCTCTGCAGTTCATATGTTTGATTGTCTTTGTTGATTTTGATTTCATGATCAAGATGTATATATATTTTTCAATTATTTCTATTTCTTGTTGTTTTAATAGTGATATTTTGACTAAGAACTAGGTTCGTCATCATTTTTGTTTTGCCAGTATTCATGTTCAAGCTAACTTTTTCTGTTGCTGTTTGAAGCTCCATAGTCATTTTTCTTGCTTTTCTCAAATCATCGGCTATAATAACAATATCGTCAGCGAAGCGGAGGTTGTATGCTTAAATATTCTCCATCGATTTTTATTCCTTTATTATGTCATTCTAATGTCATTCTAATAAATGCGTATTCCAGAACGGTGTTGAATAATTTGGTGACATTGGATCCTGTCTAATTCCTCGTCCAATTTTTGTGTTTACTATTGATGTGTAATTTTACTGTTGTTGTTGCTTGTTGATAAATGGATAATTTTTATATATCGATAGTCGATTCGATATTCCTTTAGTGCTTTTAGTATTTTATTGTGTTTTATTGTATCGAAAGCTTTTTGAAAATCTACAAATAACAACACCAATGGTTTATTATACTCCACTGATTTTTCTATTAATACCTTCAGATTCTGTCGTTGGTTCTAAAATTTAAATAGAATCCAGCTTGCTCTCTTGGCTGGTATAAATCTAACTTGTTCTTCATTCTTGTTGTTCTAATTCTAGTAAAAAGTAGTTTGTAAAGATGATTCAATAGGCCGATAATTCTTTAGATTCATTTTATCGCCTTTTTTATGGAGTAGGATCATCACCACATTATTCCACCTATAAGGAATGGTGGCATCCTGGAGACATAGATTAAAAAGTGCTTCTATTTTTTTCATTATTATTTCTCCTTCAATTTTAATAGCCTCTATGACGATTTCATCGTCGCTTGGTAATCTATTATTTTTCATTTTTCTAAGAGTGTGCTGGATTTCTCCCCTAGTTATTTTGAGCATGTCTTCGGATTCTTGGTTCAATACTTCTTTTTCTGCTGTTATGAATAATAGTATTGAATTTTTATTTCTGCACCTTCTGTACAGTTTTTCATAGAATTTCTCCACTATTTCAATTAATTTGTGTTCTATTTCATTGTTTCTGTTCTGGAGCTTCACTATTTCAATTTTGCCCTTAGCCAGATTTCTTTTAATACTTTGAGACTTCTGTTCTCTTCTATAGTTTTGTCTGGTTTTTTCTAATTTATATTGTCGAAGATCCTCCCTGAATGCTTTGGTTGTTCTTTTATTTATCTCTTTGAGTTCTATTTTATTTGCTTCTTTGTTACTCTTCAGAAGTTTCTTTTTTCTATAAGCTTTCGTGTGTTCTGACTTATTTTCTTTCCTGGGCAGTATTTCTTTTGAGCTTCTTGTAGATGTGGTTTCCACTATTGTATTATTTAGTGTATTTATGCTATATAAAATCTCCTCTTTTTAGTTTGTTCTCTAACTGTACTAATATAGTTTTGGAACTTTTCCATATTTTGTAGGTTATTCCGTAATCTTTTATTTGTTTTTCATTTTATATCTCTTATTCTAATAATATATTTAATGTAGTTTTTATCATAGTCACTGCTGGTAGTAAACTGATTTAATACTGTAACATCTTGAAATATTTCTTTTTTGTCAGATATAAAATGATCTATTTAATTTTTAGTTCTTTCGTTTGGGCTTTCCCATCTGTATTTTTTCTTGAAGAAAAAACTATTCATTTGGTATTGTCCATTTTCCAATAGAAATCCTAATAGTTGTTTGCCTCTTTCGTTTCTATCTTCTGTCCCAAAGTTTCTAATGCTGTTTTCATTGAGTTTGTTTTTAAACCAATTTTTGCATTGAAATCTCCGCATGTAATTGTGAAAAATGGCTAGAATCTTCTTCCATTACATTTAGTCATCGTAAAAAAAAAAAATCTCCGTTTCTTCTCCGTTTGTATGATCCATAGTTGGGATCATACGCTTGAATAATTTTTAAATTATATCTGCTATTTAATTTTAAAATCAGGTATGCAACTCTAGTAGAAACTTGTTTTATAGCTGATGTATCATCTGAAAACTTCTTATGAATAAAGAAACTTATTCCTCCTACTGATTCGTTTTCTTTCCCTATAGATAAAATTTGTGGTCCGAGATCTTAATGTTATCAAATTTTCTCTGCGTTTTCTCACCTCGCTAACTCCCATTTAATCTTTGGCAGTTACATTTCTAACTCCTCGAATCTTTCCTCTGAGACCAGTGATCTGATATTATATGTTGCAATACCAGATCACTGATCTTAAATCTTTCTTTACACAACTTTCATATGAAATATTTTTCCATATTATAATTGTTTCCAAGATATAAAGCGTGGATCAAACTTTATAGATATCCTGTATAATCGGCACATTATACATAAATATACAGCATTGAAAAATTAATTATTACTATTCGTAATATACACATATGAATTATATTTTGAAAAGAATAAAGCAAGAGAAGACAGAGTGTTTATATAATGTTACCGGAACCGCTTTAGTAAAAAATAATTATAATTAAGCGTGATGGAGGTGATTAAGGTGAAGATAATCGCAAAAATGAAGTATGTATATGTGCTTACATAAGGCGATAAAAATAGAAATTACATCTTTACATTGCCTAGGAGAATTTTCATTATGTTTCTTTATAATATCTTAAGCATACGTGTCGCATTGTCAAATGCAAATGCCTCTCTTTTATCTCGTTACGATCAGATATAAATCGATCAGATATAAGTCGGTGGTTCACAACACTTTATATTCCTAAACGTTAGAGATATTGACGAATGTTTATGAAGTGAGTTTATCACATGAATACTTATCACTGTTAACTTACAATAAAAAAGAGCAAATATCAGTTTCTACGACATCCATAGCCTCATTCAGTAATTAAATCTTGAATTGAAAAGAAGCTTTTATAATTATTATAATTTCTTGTTACAGAATATAGGTGTACTATTTTCTTTATTGCATTTAATAAAATTATTTATTAAAATTGTTATTTAATAAAATTGATCTAAATTTAAATTACAAAACATAAATTACATAATAAATGTCAAAGTTACGATATTTAAATCAAATGTCAAAAGTGTTAATAAGAAATTGCGGTGTTGTAGAAATATTTATGTAAAGGTAAGTACCGAAAGCTCATATTTTTAAGTATTATATTATGTCAAATTAAAATTAAAATTAATATTATGCCATTATTTCTTATATTATTCAGTCCTTCAAAAATAATTTTTAGGAGAATGAAACTTTGTCAAAAAATAATTATAAATTGATAATTTAAAAATATTTCAAAACTTAAAGTCTTTATTTTTTAAATCGATGTTTTAGATAATGATCTAACTGATCTTTTATGAAGCTATAAATATAAGTGAAGTACGTTATATCTCAAATTTTTTACGAATTTTACAAAATTCTATGACATGAATTAAAGTCGCATCAAAACAGTTTACAATGTTAAGAAAAAATGAATTTATATTATTGCATACTTGTGAGTTTGTGAGTCTTATATGATTTTTTTTCACTAAGTTGACTGTTTATAAAAGATAAATGGAGTAGCGCTCATTATATTAGGTGTGGGAAAAAGTTCGTGGCGTTTTTTTAATGCCATCTAATGGGAAAAACGCCACGAACTTTTTCTCATACCTAATATTTTTAAAAATAAGATTAAAGAAGTTTTTTTTACAGTGCATCTGTCATGTTTATACATTGTTATATGTTTAATATATAAAGATTATGCGTTTCGCAGTTTCCTTCGTATCTAGAGCTATTCTTGGAGTGCCATTAGGGCGAGAAGTAGCCTGATACTCCTATCAGGTATCAGGCTACTTCTCGCTCTAAAATGGACTGCAAGGTTCACGAAACATTGGCACTCCAAGAATAGCTCTGGACACGGAGAAAATCCGCGAAACGCATAATTTTTATATAGAAAGCACCTGTGGAAGCCTCAAAAATATTATCAGACACATTTAATACTTAACAAATATATAAATTAAAGATAAAGACTTCTTTGAAAGTGAATTTTAAAATAAATAATTTTAAAATTAAATTTTACTTTTGTATATGATTTTTAATTTATGTCATGAAACTTTTGTAAACGAATTCTGAGATTTGATCAATTTCCATTTATATCCGCTTCATAAAAAATCAGTCTAAAATATCGATCTGAAAAGAAACTTTAAGTTTTAAAATGTTTTTTGGATCGTCTTATTTATAATAATTTTGATAAAGCACATTATCTTGAATAATTACCTACACTCTAAAAAATATTGGTGTAGATTTAACACATCTCTGTGTATCATTTAAAAGCTATTTAAAGCTATAGATGAGTGTGTAGACTTAAAACCCATGTTAAATCCATATTATATTGGCAAATTTAACACAGTGAGAATTATGTAAACATCGCATGGTATTAAGTTCACAACGCTATTTTTTAGAATTTTGGAGTGTGATTTTAGAAGATAGAATAGATGATTTTCACGCAATACGCAATAAAATTTATTACATAAAAGATATAAATAATGAACAATTTGAATAGTTATTATAATGTATGTATTACATAATTGATTTTCTTAATTATATAAATTAATAATTAAATTGTATTAAATTAATTATATACGCATTTTAACTTTAATTAATATAAATTAAATTAAATAAGTTAAAAGTATATAAGTTTAGTATATACCACATTATATTTAGTATATATCACACTTAAACGCGCGAATTTTAGGTGATATGATTCATTAACTTTAAATATTAACTTTAAATATTATTTTTTTAACATAGAATATAATATTCCTTGAGATATATATTTTCTTGAGATATATATATATACGCATCATCATTTCAGAGATAGATATGTCTAATTAGACATACCTATCTTTGAGAAACATTTTTAATCAATATATAATGAAAGTCTTGTCAATATAACTTTTCTCGATATGATATGTAATTTCATTATTTTAATAAATCTAATGATGTATAAACTTAATAAACTATTTAATTGAAATGTTCACAGTTAATGAGAATGGATTTCATATTTTTGGTACTATGCATTCTTTGCATTGTTGGGATTTTTTCAATTCTGTCGAACTACCATCAATATAATATTCGACAAAAGTTCGGAAATATTCCCGAAATCAAAGGATATCCTTTCATTGGTGTTGCATTTGATTTTATGAAGTTATCAGAGTATGGTATAAAAAAACTTTACACATAAGATTTTGTCATTATTCTTTTACATAAAATGCCATATATATATATATATATATATATATATATATATATAT